AGGATGCTTTCCCGATGGGAATGACCCAAGTACATATTTCCCTGCTCACACACATTTGCATTGCACCTAACAAACACCAGTTTTTTTGTTTGAACATCGATACACAGCAATGGCTCTTGTGAGAACATCTCCAGGAACCTCCTCTGATTCCAACACTTTTCGGCGTTATCGCTACGACGTGTTCCTGAGCTTTAGAGGCGAAGAAACTCGCAAGAAGTTTACCGACCACCTCTACACAGCCTTGAACAACGCAGGATTTCTCACGTTCCGAGACGACGATGAACTTGAGAGAGGAGAAGATATAAAGCCAGGACTGCAGAAAGCGATCCAGCTGTCACGAACTTGTATTGTCGTGTTTTCGAAAGATTACGCGTCATCCAGGTGGTGTCTTGACGAGCTTGTGGTCATCCTTGAACGCAAGAGGACCACCTCGGACCATTTAGTTTTACCAGTCTTCTACGATGTTGATCCGTCCCACGTGAGGAAGCAGACAGGTAGTGTTGGAAAAGCATTTGCTAGAAGCCAGAAAAATCAGTCGCCGGAAAAGGTGGAGGGATGGAGGAAGGCACTTGCAGAGATTGCAGACCTAGCAGGCATGGTCTTACAAAACCAAGCTGATGGGTAACTTTGATTATCTCCATTTCTCTTCTCTTTCTTGGGTCAATTTGATGTATGATACGTAGTGTCCTAGATTTTTATATATTTATGAATTCAATCTCAGTAGTGAATAATAATCTCAATTTAGGTCAACTTAAAGAAATCACACTTGGACTCAACTTAAGGATTAGTCATTTTCCATGTTAATCTACATTTGTTTGATTTATTAATTATCATTCTAAATTCCCTAATTCATTATTCATTCATCCAATACTTCTGTGAGACATAACATGTTTGATTTATTTTTCATTTTGTTTGTAAATTCTTAGGTATGAGTCAAGGTTTATCGAAAAAATTGTTAAAGTGGTTGGAGACAAGTTAAGTCGCACACCATTGATTGTTGAACCAAAATTGATTGGAATCGAATCTCAAGTCGAAGACATCAATTTGTGGTTACAAGATGGATCAACCGATGTCGGGATACTGGTTGTTTGTGGCATGTCTGGAATAGGGAAGACAACCATTGCAAAACATGTTTACAATTCAAACTTTAGAAGCTTTAAAGGAAGTAGTTTCATTGAAAATATCAGTGAAACAGCAGATCGACCAAATGGCTTAGGTCAAATACAAAAGCAACTTCTTTCTGATATTTTGAACGGCAGAGAAGTGAAAATACATGGTGTTAGTGAGGGACTAAGAAAGATTGAAAGAGCCATAAGCTCTAGAAGAGTGCTTCTTGTTCTTGATGATGTGGACCATTTGGACCAATTAGATGCAGTACTAAAGATGAAAGATCGGTTTTATCCGGGAAGTAAGATACTTATAACCACTAGGCGTGAAAGGTTGCTAAAGGCACATCAAGTTACAAAGGTGCACAAAGTTGGAACTTTGTATTTCAATGAGTCATTAGAGCTTTTCAGTTGGCATGCTTTTCGCCAGTATCATCCCCCTAGTGGTTACGTGGAATATTCAAAAAAGGTTGTACACTACTGCGACGGACTTCCATTAGCTCTAAAAGTTTTGGGCTCTTCTTTATCAGGGGAACGTATAGATGTATGGGAAAGTGCATTGGAGAAGCTAAAAGTGATCCCTAATGGTGAAATCATGTATAAACTAAGAATGAGCTATGATAGTTTACAAGATGACCATGACCGGAAATTATTCCTCCACATTGCTTGTTTTCTAATTGGAAGGAACAAAAGCTACATTGTTAAAATACTCGATGGATGTGATTTCTATACAATTGTTGGTATTCAAAATCTCATTGATAGATGCTTGGTGACAATTGATGGATGCAACAACGTGCAAATGCATGACATGATCCGTGACATGGGAAGAGAAATTGTTCGCCATGAATCAGAAGAGCTTGGAAAACGTAGTAGATTATGGCGCCATAAGGATTCTTTCGAAGTACTGAGGGAAAAGAAGGTAAGAAACATGCCTTTTAGTCTATATATGTATTTCTTCTTGTGAAAATTATCCATATTAATGTTTTAAACTTTTTTTTTCTTAGGGTACACAAACAATTCAAGGTCTTGCCCTGGATATGCGTATGCATCTTCCAAATAGACCAATAAACACAAATGAGACAGTTTTGGAAACCAATGCATTTGAAAGGATGTGCAATTTACAACTACTCAATCTTAGTCATGTACGACTGGATGGATGTTATGCAAATTTCCCTACAAGATTAAGATGGTTGTGTTGGCTTGAATTTCCATTGGATTCTATACCTGTTGATCTTCCTTTGGAGTGTCTAATTGTTCTTGAAATGCAACATAGTAGCTTAAGACAAGTCTGGAAAGGAACAAAAGTATGTTACTCTACGCATTTCAATTCAGTTTTTTATTTTTTGACCAATTGCATATGTTAAAATTAACTCTCCCACATTTTTTTCTTTGTTTGTTTTTATTTTACACAGTTTCTTCCATCGTTGAAGATCCTTGACGTCAGCCATTCCCATGCTCTCATTGAAATCATGGACTTCTCACTATGCCCCAATCTAGAAGAATTGATTCTTGTTGATTGCACCAGCCTGATTGATGTTCATGAATCCATTGGAAACCTGGAGAGACTCGTGTACTTGAATGTGAAGGATTGCAAGAATCTTAAGTTGCTTCCGAAGAACATGTGTTTGCTTAATTCACTTGAAACACTCATTTTATCTGGTTGCTCAAATCTTGATGAGTTTCCAGTGGAGATGATGAAGATGGAGTCTCTGAAAGTTCTTGAAATAGATGGAATTCCAATAGGTGAATTATGGCCAAAAAGAAGTTCAACTATCTTGAGTTCTTTTCCATGCTCCTTAGTAAAGTTGATTCTCAGTAGGTGCAATCTTTCTGAAGATGCCTTTCCTACGGATTTAAGTAATCTATCTTCATTGCGAAAACTAAAGATAGATGAGAATCCAATTTGCAGTCTGCCAGGTTTCATCAAAGGTTTGAGGAGGCTTGATAAACTCTCTTTTTGTAATTGTAAGAAGCTCGAATCGCTTGTGGGGTTGCCGAGAGTACACAAAAAGATGTATGTAACCGATTGCATATCATTGAAAAAAGTAACATATCAATCGTTTGAGGGGCTCCAACTAGAGGCCTTTGTGAGAAACAACAAAAACACAGTTGAGTGGGAGTACCTTTTCAAGTTAGAGTCTATTGATAGAGTTGATGTGGAGATGATCAAACTTTTGGGCTTGTGCAACTTGGGATCCATGCCACCCATTACAATGAACGCATTTCCATTCTCAAGCTATGGTTCAAAAGTGAGTCCTATCCAGGTGCGCCTCTCTCTCTCTCTCTCACTCACTCTCTCATAAGTCATATATATATAATGGGAAATAAATGACTTAGTAATGTTGTGATGATCATGGAAAATGCATAGGGACTGTATGAATGTGGTATATTCAGCACAAGTTTTGTTGGGAATGAGGTTCCAGGCCGGTTCAGCTATAAAAGTACCAAGTCCTCCATATCTTTTAGTGTCCCTTTACTCCCTTCTAGTCACACAATCCGAGGCTTGAACATCTTTGCTACCTATGCAAACAAGGAGAATTCTAAATATAATGATGATGGTAGTTATAAACGTCCAATGATAATCAAAGTGAGTAACAAGAGCAAGGGTCTGAAGTGGATCTATTGGCCATTATACTTTGGTATCCCAGGTGACGGAGAAGATATGATATGGTTGAGTCATTGGAAGATGGAGAACGAAACAATATTACAATGTGGAGATCAAGTGGTGGTTTCAGTAGTGGCCGCACCATATGAGTTGTTTCGGATAAAGGAGTTTGGTGTCGAGCTTATGCAAGAGCACCAGAATAATATGATGATAAGTACCCAACACAACACCAAATCAGATCCTAATTATCCATGTGTCATCGGTGGAGATTTGTCCATGTGGGAGCATATACCCGGAACATACTTACTTGGTATCCGTAAAGAATCATTTGAAGATGCTGATGACCATGAGCAGAGATGGTTGAATCGCCTCATCATGGACAATAATGAAGAAGACACAGGTATGCTGTGATGTTGTATTGCATGAATTATACTTCATCCAAACACTTCCAAGTCCGTCTCTGTTCAATTCAAAAACATAAATTTAATGTTATTTGTATGTTCTTCAGACAAAGAAGAAGGCCAAGAGGATGAACCTGATTACACAATTGGAAGGACGAGGGATGCCAGTAACAATTGCGGCCTCAGAGGCTGGAAGGTGCTCATCACAGCTGCCGGCTTATTTTTCTCGCTTGCTCTAGTAGTTCGGTCCTCCATCTCCCGGAAAAAGAAGCGACAGTAGTCCACATGCCATCCATGAGTTTGTAATTTTACTTGATACAGACATCTTTGGATTCCCTCCTTGTTTTCAATATGTTTTCTTCCTTCAAAATATCGAAGTTCAGATGTGTTCAACATCATCAAATACTGCATAAAGATAGCATAAAATACATCCAACATTAACGATATTTAAGAATTTTTCTTCCCTGCCACTGATTGCATACAATCCCGTATCAGAGAAGAAAAACAGATGGTTGTATACTAGCAGTAAATAATTAAAAAAAAATATGATTCTAAACAAACAAGGGAAGGACATTGACATAGGTATCTTTAGCAATACCAGGCAAAAATCAATTCTTTGAACTAGGGGAAAATATTTTCGCACCGAGGAAAGCAAAAAACATCCTATCTGCTTATAAAATGTCAAATTTAAATAGTAATTGTCATTTACAACAAAATCATGCTTCTTAAAGACTCGGCTCCGATTGAAAAATTGTGTAAATTACATAAGTATCAGTTACAACAGATATTAGATTGACTAATATATCAAATAAATTAACAGCATACAACTTCTTAGCCTGAGATCTAAGGACTATACAGCTGACTTGCATTGCTACTACACTACAAAAAGTTGGTTTTCTGCTGCTTCAACTCGAACAAATTATTGAGGTCGGGAAGCATAAGAGAAACGGCCATGGTCTCTGGAGCCATGAAATTTACTATCTTCTCATAAACATTTTACCTGCAAAAGCATAATGCAATAAGCCTTCAACAATCTTATAAGCTGAGACGATACAGTGCCATTGACTTGAGTGGCTGCAGATACAGATTGTTTGAATGAAACTCTCCTTATGACTCAGACTTAGTTACTTAAAGTTGGTTAGATGAGTCCAAATTGTTTGAAAATCATGTTCATCAACTCCACATATCCAAAGCAGCAAATTAACGATGATACCGGACATCACTTAGGACGATACAATCCTTAACAATTTCCAAAAGCCACAGTTTTTATATGCAATCTGATTACATGTGTTTTGAACGACAGGAAATCTTATAGATTCAGTAACCCGTTTATCAAATTCAAATGCAATCATTCATATATGAAGTATGAGATGCCCAATAGTTTTACTAAAGCCAATTTTTTCGCTAAATCAGGCTGAGGTTTATATGAGATCAAGCAGGAAAGATTTGAGCCGACATCCTAGGGCAATTTGAAATCTGGCTTCATCTTGGCTTATGCTCAGATCAACAAAACAAGGCCCAACTGATTTACCTTCCATGTCAACATTATGCTTTTGACAACTGCAACAAATACTTACCTCTAGAGTGTGATTTAATTGATGTTTCTGTAATCAAAATCCCAAGGTGTCTTATGTTTGTCGAAAATAACTGTATTTCTGACCAATTAGACTACTTTGAACTTCCCACCTCTTACACTCTTAATGATAACTTAGTACCAGCACAATCTGACTAATTATAGCTACCGTTGTAGTGGAACTTCTGAAATTTGGGGAACCCTCACAATCATATGAAAACTTAAGCATTTCCTTAAAGTTTGATTTGACAAAATTGAACTCTCTCTTAACTAATAGTATAGTTATAAGCCAAACACACTTTATGAGAATGTAAACGGTTATTAAAAATTTCAAACACAAAATGTAAATCACCAAGATAGTTGCAAACCTTTCACATATTGGCAATTCTTATCAAGCCGAAAATGATAGATTATGCACAAGAACGGAAAGCCAAATTGTATTACAAGATAAATATAATAGTTTGATAAATGTACTTTGCACATACTATGTGTTGCTTGAACAATGGACGGGTTCTTCTCAAGTAAAGCTGCAACAAGAAAAAATAGCCCGATGTGATTAATGTTAGCATATACAAATGGCAATATTAACAAATCATAACAATGTATAAAGCACTTATCATATTACAACAAGGTATGAAGCTAAACCGCAAACCAAGTAGTACGAGGTAGACAAAAAAACCTTTTGACAGCCATACTTCTTGTAGTTCCGCTAGTTAGTCCAAAGTTCTCTTGATGAGTCCACTAGATCAGAATACGCTGCACTGACACCCTCATGTGAATCGCAAAAAAAGAAGCTTTAAACAAGGAGCAATAATTTCATATTGACAAACAAAACCTATTTCATGGATATTACAAGAGCTATTATTTTGAACAACACACCTTTTGGTTATTCACTGCTTGACCTTTAAGAAGATCTTCGTCCTTATGACCCCTTAGATTCTTTAAAATATATTTGCATGGGAACAGGGAATAAACGAAGAACAAAATTAACTTCATATTTCAGCCTATATAGCTCCATTTTGTGCTTTCGTAGCAACTAAATTAAATATATACTGAAAATTAGCCTTGAGCTAAGATGAAAATGGCACTAGTAATAGTATTCAATTCCTATAGCTACACTCGCGGACTATTTACATTATTCAATGACTTCTGTAACCTAATATCAAATTTCGTCACCAACCTCCAACTGCTATGCATATTATCTCTTATATTCACATTATTTAGCTCTATGTCTTCATTCTAATTAAGCATCACACGTTTATAATTAAAAATAAAAGGACTGTGAATGTAAGTCTCTTACTGCTCCTGGTGACGAAGATTCATGTATTCTTTCTCGAGTTCTTCCATCTCGGCGCCTTTATTATCGTTTTGCCCATCACCATTTTCCTCTTCCCCAACTTCTCCTCCATCTTCTTCCTAATTTTCTGATTCTTCTTCCTCCTCCTCGCCATCGTGCTCATCATCAAATTCATCCTCTTCCTGCTTCATCTACATCACAAATCATCAATTAACAATAAAATAACCAAAACAAAACCGAATGATTACCAAAACCCAATAACAGAATTTACAAATCAAACTAACATTCAGCTCATTGCTGTTGAATCACCATCGTCCTCGAACTCACTGTTACTTTCACGAGCCTTCCTCTCCATTGTGACGTCTGAGCCCCTACAAATTCAAACACCCACATATTTACAGAATTTAATAACACAAGGATTTAAGCTTTGATGGTACATACAACTTCATTTCAAATATCCAAACCAATTTATGAATCTCAGATTCTAAAATTGATGATTTTTCCTTGTTTTCTTTCAAGCGAAACAAATTAAATATACATATATATATATATATATATATATTATTTATATATAGAGAGACCCTTGAGAGAGGCACAGACAAGCCTCAGAAGAAGCTGCAGAGTTTGGGTTTTGGGGGTTTAAGCTAGGGATGACAATTCAAAACGTTAAATCCAACAACCGTGGACAACTGTCCGAACGAACGGACTTGGGTATGAAATTTTGGGTAACTCCATAAAGTGCTATTCGACTAGCTCGAGAGGGTCGAAGAAGAACAAATCACGCGGATCGGAGGCACTCGAATATTTTGGATATGAAAAAAACCATGAATATTATTCAGTTATGGTTTTGGATACGGTTATAAAGATCCTCATTCCATAATCGTCTCCGAATCCGACCCAAATAATATATATAATATGTAACATAATTTATATATAATATAATATTATCATATAATATATATATATATATATATATATATATGTGTGTGTGTGTGTGTGTGTGTGTCAATATATATATATATATATATATATATATATATATTGATTTGACACACACACATATACCAAAGATGGGGAAAAGGAGGGCAGGAGAACTTTTCTTATAGGAAAAAGGAAGAATAATAAAGATAACTAATGAGAAAAACATCACGAAATCAAAATCACAAACTTAGACGAAAAAATATGTATACCTAACATTTTCTAAAACTTTAGGGTAGAATACTTGTTTATATGACACTGCACCAAAGCCGTACATATAACAAACGCTCTAAAGACAATAATCTGACATCTTGGATAAGAAACGAAATAAGAAGAAACATACAAATGTTTCACATACAGTGATATTCATTTTCTACATTGAAGCCTTTTGATAAATTACTTTCTACACATTCATGGAGCCAATACTTTGATTGCCCGAGAAAGCAACTATTTGTTTCACACTAGACGCCAAACTCAACGTAGTGTGTTAAGTGCCCGGAAAGACCATAAGGATTAGGCCTTGCAAGGATGCAATGTTGTCCCAGACTTACAAGGGAACCTTGTTGCTTGTTCTTTATATTTGCAAAATCCCATTCAATAATCATACAAATTGGATTCCTTCAGGAATATAAGATACTCAACAGCCATATTTGATTCAAACAAATCTCTCTAAAGCCTCAAATGGATAGTGAAGGCCACTGTTTATTTGTACCCTAACAATGCACAAGTCTAAGTAACTTGCCTATAATCAACAACATCTAAAAGGATAAAGATACAGAATGCACGCAAAGAAAGAGCCAGACCTACGTAACCAGTCAAATTCAAGTTCATTTCTATAACTCAAGATACTTCGTTTGGGAAAATCTTCAACTGGTTTAACTGAAAATCTCTAGTATACTCATGTGTATCTATATATGGTTAAAGAACTTCCAACAGTTTTAAGCACATTGAATCATGCAACTATTACCAACTGCTAACGAGATTCGTGTTATATACAGACAACAAATCTATACAAAACCACCTTTTAGCAAAACACAGTTCATTATCTAGTATCTACATAAATTTCAAATTTCAATTCAATAGATAACTTAAAATACTCGAAACCAAAATTGGATAGCATTCATAAGGTATAACTACTTACTTCATGAGAATGTCATAGTACTCGGGATCCAAAGAAGAAAACATTGCAACCACCTCTTTAATAGCCATGATAGCTCTATGCACCATTATCCAATTTGCAGACTGCAAAACTCAAAAAATAAAAAAAGAAAAAATGAATCTCATCACTTTCTTTTCATTCCACACCAAACAGGACACTTGGATTATAATTAAACACAGGGGAACAATTCTGATTGGTACCCAAGAAAAACACTGGAAAAACAAAAGAAAAGAAGAACAAAGTTCTAAACTTGCAATTCAATTTTCTATTCCGTCGATTGATTTTCTCGGCAACCAAACAGAAGATTAGCAAAAGAGAAAAGACAAACCTTGCAACGCTCGTCTTTGGTGTTGAGAGGCGAGCCTTCAAGAGCAGTTTTTAGAGCTTCAACTGTCTTGTACCTAGATGAAAAACGGATCAAACAGTTAAGGATTCTGGGGAATACCAAATCATTAAGGGGTTTTACAGAAAATTGAATGTATTAAGGGGAAAGGATTTGGAGTGACACTGTTTGAGTAAGCTCTCGATCTTTCGAGATTTTTGTTCGATTCTGTTGAATATGGCCTCTGCGTTATCTGCTTCCGCAAATTCCTCTGTTCCTGCCATCTCTCTCCCTCTCTCTTATTTGTTTCACTGTGATTTTCTCATATGGCAATTGGAAATGACTCGAGGAAACATATTCCCGAGAAAGTGAGACGGCAGGTGGACCAAACTGTATATTGGGCATTTTGTCTTCCACTTTGAGGAGAAAAATAACGGGTATGCTTCTCTCCTCCGTGAGAGCTTTTCTCTCCGCCGTGAGAGCCTCCTCTGTGAGCGTGTCCTTCCCTCCTCCGTGTGGGTTTTTAGTGTTATCGTGTTGTCGGTGTTCAGGTCTTTCTTTTTACTCCCTGCCTCAAACTTTCTTCCCTTGGTTGACTTCCAAATGGGTATAATTTAGGGAGTTGTAACGAAAAGCATTCGGTATTGTTCATTTTAACGAAAAATCTCATTTTTATACTACAAAGTCAATCATGGTACTATTCATTTTACCTTTTATTTTGTCCTTATCATTAAAACTCAAAGTTTTCAAGTTATTTTCATTAATTTTCCTTATAATTTAATATATACTGTGTGAGAGTGGGTATGGGTATGGAGGTATGGGTAAAGGAGGTTTTAACTCGCATCAATCTTTTGATCTAATAAGAGGTGTGGGGGTTGGGTGTAGATACCTCACCTTCCAACAAATTAATATTTTAATAAATAATGCAAGGTCATTGTTTATCATCTTCAACCGAGAGTCACATCAATCTTTCGATCTAATCAGAGGTGTGGGACAAATTAATATTTTAATAAATAATGCATGGTCATATTGTTTAAATATGAAAGGGTTTCGAGATGCCCTTCATATACAATTCCTCCGCTTGGCGTACCTAAAAAATATAATTACAAAAATTAAAGGAAATTAATTTATGAAATTAAATGTAATATAATTAAATATAACTACAAAAATTAAAGGAAATTAATTTATGAAATTAAATGTAATATAATTAAATATTTAAAATAAATTGTGAAAACACTTACTTCGTCGTAGTAATTAGCGCCGCTTTCATGTCTACTTACGGCTACTAACAGTGCTTGATGCCATTTATTCAAACTCGGATGAAGATGTTTCTTCCATTTTGAAGAACAACTCTCGTGGTTTCGGATATTCGGTGGAGTGGTGCCTTCGTAGAACTCATAACATTTTTTGGACACACAAGTCCAAACACCTTCACTTGTTTGAGAACTCCCCTTCACACTATCTTCCGAGACCCATCTATAAGTCCTACAAAGAGCTTCATATTCTTTTCGGGTCTAAACCTACCTTTCATTGCAGATAAGGCCATTTGAAAATTATTGAAAAGAATTGAAGGAAAGATTATTGGAAGAGGTAAGAAAATAGAATGTGAAGAATTGAAATAGAATGACGTGAGATAGTATGTAATGGTGAAAATTATGTGATAAATGGTGTAGGAATGGCTTAGGTATTTATAGGAAAAAGTGAGAATTTTAAAAAAATTTAAAAAAAAAATTTGGCCAAAAAAAAATACTCAAATCCAACGGTAACTGACGTCAGCTAGCCGTTGGTTTTGAATTTGTGGCCGGCCTAGGGTTGGCTGGGTTGGGCCAGCCGGTTGGCCCTTTAGCCATTTTTTGGCCCACGAGCCCTTTGGCCTAACTCTCGGTTGGAGATAGTTTTCGGACTATTTTCAGCCTATTTTCAGCCATCTGGACCCTTCGGTTGGAGATGGCCTTAGAGAAGGCAGATGTGGAAATGGTCCTATTTTGGGTTCAAATTATGGGAGTGCCGTTATTTTTTTATATCAGAAGCCAACGTCAGACGCCCGAGCTAAAGAATTTGGGGAGTTCGAAGATCCTTCTATGGCCAGAGGTTTTCTACGTGTAAGGGTCATGGTTAATACTTCTAAACCATTGATCATAGGTTGTTGGCTACCGAGGGAGGGCAATAAGGATACTTGGATTGAGTTTCGGTACTATAGGCTGCAAGATTTCTGTTACAGGTATGGAAGAATATGGCATACAAAGATGAATGCTCTTTTGAACTGAATAAAGGAGGGGCGCCAGTTATGGGGAACGGACAAAAACAAGGCCAGTTTGTGAGGAGGTGGATCTCCCTAAAGCCATATCACTTGGAGTGGAGGAAATGAGGCTTGCTGGTATCGTGAAGCTAGGAACCATGCCCAATTCGCAACGGAATGTTGAAGACCATATCAGAGCATGAAGAGGGAACACCACATTAACCCTTTGGACCCAATGCAAACAGATGAGATTCAGGAGGTAAGAATCCGAAGAAAGAGAATAGACATGTTGGAAAGTCGTGGGATGAATGGGGGGAATATTCATGCGCAGTGGTTTATAACTAAAGTTTCTCCTAGTTCTTCCCACCACGAGTTCTTGGGATTGGTATCATTGAGCTCTTCTTACCCACATATCTTTGGAGTTCAATCCAGGCAGGGAACAAACCCCTCAGTTACAATTCAAGAGCTGGTAGATGAGAGTAATGGTCTAAGGCAGATAGAGGATCCCGGCATGACAACAGATCAATTGCTTCCCCAGTTAAGCATGAGGAGATGCGCTGATGCGGAGCAGGTTACAAACATAGATGTCCTCTTGGTGGCTCGGGTTGAGACACATGAAAGGGTGGTTAGGCATGGCGGCGGCCTTGAAGACTCGGATTGTCACTTAAAAATGACTATTGATCTATAAGACCAAAAGGTCTTCCAATCCCCACAAGAGAAGACTAAGAGTGGTGAAAACAATATGGTTGGTGAAAACAGTACGGTTTGAAAAGGGAAAACGGCTGAGAGGCTCCGGAAAATGAGTATCAAGGAAATATGTTTGATGATGGAAATAGCTATCTACGCAGATGAGCAACTCCAGGAAGTCCCAATTGAATTCCAGGACATATGGAGCTACATGGAGGAGGTTTCAGAGAACGAAAAGAATGCACTATTGGCCAAAAAAGCAGAAAGTCTTCCCGATACGGCGGCGGCTGGCCTTCAACAGCTGCAAGGTTGCCATGACTTGGCTTTTATAAAACTGTCGTGGTCTTGTGTCAAACACAGTAGTTCGAGCCCTACATAGGTTGATAAGAACGCATAGACCCTCTATGATCTTTCTCTCTGAAACTAAGATGAAAGATCATAGAATTGATGGCGTAAGACGTCATATGAGATTCTTGAATGGTTTTAATGTTGCTCCATAAGACGTCATATGAGATTCTTGAATGGCTTTAATGTTGCTCCAATCATAAAAGTTGGTGGGTTAAGCTTATTGTGGTATGATTCTCTAGATGTTCAAATCATTTACTCTTAAAAAAAATATTATTGATGCACGAGCTACTAAATTAGGAGTTCAAAATTGAATGAGGGTGATGGGAGTAAACGGGACTTCGTATTGAGCTGAGAATGAGGAGTTTTGGGGGTGGATGAATTCCTACTTTACCTTGTTCTCTATCCCCTAGCTGTGTGGAGGGGATTTTAACGAATTTATTTGGGATTTTAAGGAGTCAGGAGGGGGTGAGGGGACCTAGATGCTCTATAATCGGCCTAAATACGTAGCTAACTTCATGAACTGCACAGAGCCTTGATTTTAATGGGCCGGCTTTCACATGGCGAATCACTCGTAATGGTGAACTCATTGAGGAAGGTATTGAAAGGGGCCTTCTCAATTGTCATTGGCAGGAGTTGTGGCTGAATACTCTTGTTATCCTTGCTACAGTGATGGGCTTTGACCATTGCCCTATTATCATCCAATGTGAGCCTGGCATTAAAAGGGGAAAAAAATTACATAAATTTCTGGAAAAATCCAACTTTTAGGATTTTGTAAAACAAATCCACACAGATCAACAAAATACAATCCACATATGGATCAAACATCTAGCATAAATTTCAACACCAAATCAATCCCCATGGCTGTGCCTATCAGTTTTAAGCTTCATTTCCCCTGAAGAACGACGAGATCCTGATGCATGACATGACATAACATTGTGATTATGGCATGAGGTGAGGTGAGGCATTGACAAGTCATATATTAGCTTAGGTGTGCTGTGCTGGGACTGGGAGTGGGAGTTATGCATGGCACGTGGAGTCTCTGGCAGTCCTAGAGATGAGAACGACCATGCACCATTACTTGTTATTTTCTTTTCAGTCGAAGTATTTTTTTTTTTATATGTGTTCTTCTTGGTTATGTTCTATGGATTTGGATCCTTTCCTAAGCTTGGGAGGCGGAGCCTCCTGAGCAAATCACACAAACTGTTGGATTTTGATCTAACAACTACAATTATTATCTTAAAAGGGGTTCCTTATTTGTAACCGTTAGATCAAAATTCAATGGCCCATGTGATTTGCTTAGGAGGCTCCGCCTCCCAAGCTCAGGAAAGGATCCAAATCCATGTTCTACATCATCATCATCACCTTTTTATTTCCTTTTTTTTACTCTTCCAAATCTATATACAACCGAATCTTTTCTCTCTCTCTATTATTTTTTCCCCTTTCTGATTGGTTGGAATTAGATTTTCTTTTGAATCTTTACAAATATTAAGAGGGCATGTGCATTTGAGGTTGTATTGAATTTGAATACCCTAAACCCCCGAAACTCTAAACCCTCTAAACCCTAAACCCTAACTAGGAAAACAAGACTGTAGCTAATACATGATAGAGTATAGTAATTGTTGTACATAATTGTGCCACGTGTAAGCAGATTAGAGGTTTGGTTAGTTAGTTAGTTACTCTTGTAGTAAAGCATGTATAAATAGCCTAAGCTTGTATTACCTAATCATTAAGAAACATATCAAAGAAAGTTAGTTTTCTCTCATTCTTTCTCTGCAAGGTTCTCTCTGTGTTCATACTAGGTTACACAGGTTTACATGGTATCACTTGCCATTATTGCCTAAGCAAGCTTTCTCGATCCTCTTTTGCTTCCTTTATCGTAATCAACATCTTCGTCTTCCTCTATCTCATCGTCTTCCTCTGTGAATTTTTAGATTTCGCCTCTGATTTCTTGAACAGTTTCAGCTTCGGTGATTCTAGGGTTTTTCTCTCAATTTCTGCAATTTTTGAACTATGCAAGCATGGTGACTACATCGCAACTCCAGCTTCTTCAATCTCCGATTATAGCTCTTATCTCGACAATTTCAACATCGGTCAATGTCAAACTCAATGACTCCAATTAACTTTAATTGGCAGTTCCATATGCAACTTTTATTGGAAAGCAATGGTATCATTGGCTTTGTTGATGATTCTACGCCTCGTCCATTCTAACATTCATCAGCATCGGGTGAATCTGGTATAAGTTCTCCAAATTCATCCTCTTCCACTGACACTGATGATTTTGTAGTATGGAGAATGC